GGAGGCGTTGAACATGAAGTTCTTTTAGATGGCGGTGATGGTGAAGATGACAAAGAGCTTCGGGTGCAGGCTGTTTTCTAATGATCAGGTAAGCGTAAACTTGTGTCAATCGTTGGCTAGTTTTTTGATTCTTCCCACTTGCTGATGACCTCACTTCTGACTCTGATTGGATCTGCTTTGTATAGGGAACCTCACCCGTTTCGCCAATTGTGTCACTGTTCTAGAGCTCGCTCCCTTGTCAATTCAGTAAAGAAAATTATACAAGGCTACATCCTTGGATTGAATACTTGTTCATTGTTACCCTTGAGAGCTGCCACTGAGCTGATTTTTCTTACTTGTCAAGCTTCTTCCTCAATCCAAATCTAAGTACAAGCCTGAGGTTTTTGGGTGTATCAGGTCTATCTCCTTATAATTGTGTGGCTGATTTGGAATCCTCTTGGATGTACCACCTTTAGGAATTATTCACAACCCTGTGTATGGATCAATTAGCAAGCCAGTGATTCAAATGTTCCCATTGAGCATGGAATTGCACTTATTCCACTTTTTTCCAATGACTTGAGTGTCAAATTAATAGTAAGATAAATACTGATAACTGATAGAGATTGAGTTCAGAGTTCCTATGTAATCATGTTACAAAGCCAAATTTTCAAAGGCAAGACATTGAATTCTGGCAAACATCTAGTTATCTGTTCAAAAAAAACAGCTTATGCTGCACTGTCCAAATGGGGCCTTGGTTTTGATACAGGCAAGATGATTATTTAATGTGGGGTAACCCAGGTCTTTTTACATGATTTACAATACTTACACAAACCCAGAGTTTTTGTTCTATATATTTTATAATAATCCAACTGCTTGATGTATAACAAATCTTTCACTTAGTAAGTAATAGACATGATTGGTCAATTTGAAGCAATTTGAAACACATTACATAACTAGATGATTTCAAAAATGAACAATGTGTTCTTCATTAGCATCAAATTTCTTTTTAACAATGTTCTTCAAATTCCTTTGTAGGAATGTTCACTTTCAATCTTGATCAAGATTGAATGTTGCTGGTCAAGATTAAGTGTTGATTGAATGTGACCAAATTTAAAATTTCTTTTTATCAGTATTCTACTTGCAATCTTGATCACAATCTAATTTTTTGAACTTTCAATTTTTTTTTATAAATATCCAACTTCACCCATGGACTAAGACATCAAATTATAACAACTCAAAGCAAGTTGACTTGCAAAAGAAATCAAATCTCATGATGTCCAAACTGATCACCCAAAGAAATCAGAAACTTGTTCTCTCTTTGTTGGTCTTTTGGTTAGCATTCAACTTGCATCTTCATTAGTGTGAATTTCTTTCACCTGTTTCCAACTTGAATCTTCACTAACATTAAATCTCCTTTAGCAGTTTTCAACTTTCAATGATGATTAAGATAAAATGTTTGCACTTTTGTCCCCTTGTGCTCATTCAGTGAACTTATCACATTATTGAAATGCTTTTCATATGCTTGTATCTGGTCAACCTTCCTTAGCCTGACATAAAAAGTTGTACCTACCAAATTCTATTATTCCCCATAATTTCAGAAGGGACAAAAAATAAACCTCATTTTATTTAAAAACTCCTCTTGGACTTGAAATATATCAATATTTTATTGTTTAAATTCAAATCCTCCTCTCAAATCAACATATTGCTGTCTGGAATCAGTATTATTCTTAACTTCTCAAAAATATATCAATGGCTGGGTGAGGACACCTTGGACTAGAGGAAATACCTTCTATGGGTTGGAACCACTGGTCCATACCAGTAAACTTCCACTGAGCTGATTCTAGCCTCTGCAGAGTAGCTCACATCTGAAAGAAGTGGATATCCACATCATCAACCTGAATCTCCTTTTGAATCTCATTTAATCATTGCTTTTATTTCCATCACAAAGAACAACCAGAAGCTTCCAAGAGAAGAAGACATTAACAGCAAAGTTCAGAGATACTTTTGAGTTTTAACCTGAGTCTGTTGAATTCACTGATCAACTCACTTTCCTCAATTTAATTCGTCAGCCCAGTAATTCCATCAGGTATCAACACCAGGAAGAGAATCACATCTCAGGGGGAGAAAGTAGATGTACATACATATTGGGCTCTTAGAATGGCCCTTGGTCTTTTTTCTATTTCTGGCTCTTGCTAATATTTCTCTAGCTCAAGTTACACCATTATTCATTGTTTACTATGTGCAATAGATTCTGTCTGGTCCAGTCTTTCACTTCAGCAGGTAAAATCTCATCATTATTTCTATTCCTTTTACTGTCTTTTGTTGAGTTTTTTTGCTTTGTAATTATTGTTACTACTACTGATGTTTAAAGATTTATTGCAATGATCTTGATCTCATTCGACCTTACTAAGTTGAAAATTAGATGATACTTCAACTATCTGGGTAAGTGGTTACCTATCTGGGGTGTTTGTCAAGGATCAATTTTTTTCTTCATTGTCATGGAGTGTACCAGACAATCACACTCTCTCCATGAGATTGACCTTTCTGAACAGCCATTGTTGCAAGTACACTCTCCAGAATGGCCATTCAGAACAGCGGTTGAAGAATATTGTACCCTTGGCCCCAGCGCTGCCATTCGGAACAGCCATTGAGGAGCGGAGGAGCGTAGCGTTGGCCTCACTGATGTTGTTCAGAGCGGTCGTTGAGGAGTGTCCCCTCGGCCTCAGCGATGCGGATCAGAACGGTCATCGAAGAGACTGCTCTCTCAACGATGGCCGTTTAGAACGGCCATCAAGCACAAGAGGGCTTGGGGCAGGTATGTACCCTGTATGCCGGAGCGGTACCCGGTTACCGGCAAATCTCTGCAATGCTGGGATGCCCAGCGGTTGCGCAGCGATGGAAGCCGAAGGAGCTTTGCTTGCGAGTTCGGACGAGCTGATTATGTAAACCTCAGCCGGCGGGGCGAGGGACGGCGAGGGTCATCTCAGATGACCTTGTATAGCCTTCGTACTCAGTGTACGAGGGCTATTGAATAGCCAGATGTCAGTCGACAGGGGTGGGCCATCATCACCTCAATCTTGGTTCTTGGAAGAAGAAAGGGATCTTGGTTCTTGATCAAGCTCGAGTGGCTTCTTCGCCTGTGTGGAATTCGAAAAACGTCATCAGATCTGTAACATCCCAGCCCTGACATCTATAAACTCATCAACTTTGAGGCTACATAATGTCCGCTCCCAAGCTTTTGCTCCTCACCACAATTCAATTCATCTGAGGAATAAGTACCAATTAGCGGGGTTCACGATAGCTTCTCGCAAGAAGCGATTTCTTCTCGCGCGAGAAACCGCAGCACTGCTGCTGGCTTAAAATTTAGCGCAGAACTTAAAATTTTCGCTGGGAAAATTGACATCAGCAATGCGCGAGCAAGAAAAAAAAATTACGGATGCGAGAAGCGAAAAACACTATCGTGAACCCCGCTATTAGCTCACTCTCTGCTCAGTTGGCAGTCTCACTTCTCTTCAAAAAGCATAAATTGTAGGTCAATCTTGTCCCTGTCAATCAATGTGACACTTTTGTGCTAGCTGAACATGGTCAAAAATGTGCCTACATTGTGAACTGTGATGATAAACAGTGATGAACCATTTGTTCATCATCACTAAGTACCTTCACCAAAATGAGAACAAACTCAATAATTCAAAGCCTCCCCAAGCCCTGTAAACTTCCTCACCACCATTCCTTAGACTTCATGTGCTTCAATGGCCCCACTGTGAGACTGGGTTTCTACAAGTGATAGCATGTCAGGACACAAGGTATGAGGCGTACTTTTAGGCCTTTACCCTAGCAACCATTTTTTTTTTCAAAGTAAGCTGTGGATTCTTTGTCCCAGCAGAAAATTGAAGCCACAGTTCAAAATATCTAAGGCCCCGTTTGGCAGCGTCATAAATTCAGGTGTAATATTGCCTTATAAATTCAATATAAAATAAACCACTCAAAAATATGTAATAAAATGTTAACTGGGGCAAGTTCAACTGCTGATTTCAATTTGAGTACAGGCAAAGTTGAGATAATGGGTTATCTTCAGCACCATAATACCAATATTACACTTTTTACCCATATAAAGGGTAATATCAATATTATGGGGCTCAAGATGGCCTAAGATATCAAGTTTGTTCACAGCATTGATGAAACCAGTAATTGAACTTACCTGAGTAACAATTTTGAAACATATTTTGCATTGGTTTATTTTTGATTGAATTAATCAGGCAATATCACACCTAAATTTATGACGCTGCCAAACGGGGCCTAAATAGACAATCACCTTGATGGTTTTGATATTTGACCAAAGCATCTTCAAAGAAAAAGAAACAATTCCAAGAAATCTTGTAAGATTGAGTTCATGGACCATGCATAGCTTATTTGGGTGGGAAGTAACCAAATACCATCTGAAGTATATTCTTGAAACAGTTCTTTTTGAAGATACTAATCAGGTTTGCAATGTGCCCATCCACCAATCTCTCAAAACATTAACAATGTACCTAAAGGAATGACTACTAGACAAGTTTTGATGATTCATTTCTGAAAAGACTGCCATAAAACTGTCCTGAATTTGTTCCAAAGATATAGCCCTTTTGTTGACATTTCCAAGCATGATTTCTACAACCACATTTCTGGATTTGGCATCTTCTTTGTTATAAATTCCATAAATTCTCTCAAACCTGTGGGAGACAGGTATAATTTTTCTCCAGTAGAATTCCTTCCATCTTGGGTATAACTTGAGGCCTTGTTCCTTGTTGTCAAAGATTCCATGAGATAGTAGTGCACCATACTCAAAAACATTCTCTATGAGCCCTTTCAATCTTATTGCAGCTTTCATCAACTTAATCTGATTCATCAATTCTTCATAATCTCCATATCTGTCACGGCTTGAAATTTTTTGGAATAAAGCAGAGCCATAATGACTGTTTATGAAATCCAAGGTATGGAAGGTGCAGATGTATTGATAAGATAAAAGAACTTTTTGCTTGGTTTCAGTCACCTGAGGTGGCATTTGGAAGAACTTGATGAGCTTCCCAACCTCCTCTTCTAATCTCTGCGAGCAGGATCTTGAGGATCTGTTTGGGAGATCTGAATTCAATTTCATTCTTTCACACTTGAACCAGATTAAGAGTCTGTTGAGAAACCCAGGATCTTTGAATACAGTGACAGTTTCAATCCACTTTTTACTGAGAGGATCTTCCACTGAGTCTTCTATAACTCCCTTTAGGAGATCAACCACAGCAAAATAGGCCACCAAAGTTTGGCTTGGTTGACCCAGGGCTGGATTTAACAAGATAGTTGGAGAGAATTTCAAAATCTCAGAATCTTTCAAGCCACATATTTTTAGGATCAAGTAGGGGAAACTCTCACCTTGAATTATGGTCACAGAATATAGCAACTCCCAATATTCAGTCATGCTTTCGAGGTTAGGACTGACAGAATAATTGGGATAGGTTCTCTTCTTCTCAATTTTTGGAGAATGATTCATCGTTCGAATGGCTAATTTTTCCAAAGCCTTTTGATTTTCGAAGAAATTCCTCAAACTATTCAAGGTGATGAATTGGTGCTTGTAGAAGAAGTCAACAGCTCGAAGGAGAATATTCTCCCAGTTCAGGACTATCTCTGGGTTGAAATTTTCAATCCTAATTGTGTCGCTGACAAATATGGCACTCAAGGTGCCTACTCTTCTTTCGAGGTCTCTTCTAATGACTTTTCGGAACTGGCTATCCTTCGTGGCTTTCGTGGCCGTACGCGAAGTGTCTGAGGAGCAGCTGCCATTCACTTGGTTTTGAATCTGCTTGAAGATGTCGCGGTAGCATCCCATTAATAACTGAATGCTTTGAGTCAAGAACTTCTTGGCATTGGGTGAGTTGGATGCATTCGATTTCATTACCCAACCACGAAGCTCTTCAACAGCTTTAGAAAATGAATGCACCCCATCCAGCAGTTCGCGCATTCCTATGATATCATGAAAATATGTCAACACACCTCGTCGGAACCAAAAACTAACCAGGCCCCAGAATTGGCCCTTTGAAATCCTCTTTTTGGAACAAAGTGTCCAAAGTTCAATATAGTAGACTGATCTAGTCAAAAAAAAATTGTCGACTTACCTTTCTCCTCCGGTGATGTGGACCTGAATCCTGATGTAGCTTTTGAGACTATGCTAGTGAGCATGTTGCTAGTCCAATCAGATCCAGTCGAAGCAAATGACTCATGGTAATCCTCATGAGCAAGCTCTGCAGCAAGATTTTCAGACAGTGTATCTTTTTGCATTGCTAAGTTATGGTTGTCAGAATCAGGAATGAAACCAGAATTTAATGGTCAGATAGTTTTGGAGTAGAAAACAGTGAAGAAGGTGCATTTACCTGGGACTGGACTAAGCCGACCCGCGGCCAGGCTCACAAGCCCTGTGAAGGCTATGCCCAGTATCAGCTTCATTTGATCTGGCCGAGGCACAAATTTGAAAGCTTGAAAATTTTTTCTTGAAGAAGCCCGCAATATTTATTTACAAGAACTTCATAACTATCGATGACTTCCCCAGCTTCCAGAGGGCTAGGCCCCAGCTTCGTCTTTATAAGCTCACACCAGCTAGTCTACACCGAGTTTCATTGAGCGGCTGATTCCGGCGCGGTAGTTGTTATCTCCTGGGCAGTCTATCAAGAGTAGGCCTCCACTTGAAACTTTGGGAAATTGACAGGAGTTTTGTTATTGCCGGGAGTGATTGAGGGACAACACAACGCCGGCCTTCAATGTTTCACCTGGGCTGGAGTGGGAGCCTCAACTCGCAGAAAGACTCTCTTTAGGTTCGGGTTGTAATGGATCACGCGAGGCACTTCAATCCATTTCTCCTATCCTTTACCGGACGGCTCATCCGAACTAACCGACCATTTCTACTCTTTACGCGACATGTTAAAGACCATAAGTCTTCAGAACTACTAACCTAAATTTGAGCTTGCTGTATCTCAAACCACCCCAGGGTTGGTGCGACCATGCCAAGGGAAAAGAAAATTTAAAGGGACCTGAGCCATTTCTTGCTGTCACGTGCAAATGAAAGTTAGAAGTGTTTGTATGTAAATAGGTACTTCCTATTGTGAAACTGCAACTTGTTTAATTCTCCCGGGCACAAAATGCCAATCTTAAATGTAGAGCCGGCTTGACGACCAACTCGGCAAGTGCCAACCATTTAACAGATCCAGAAAGAAGCTGGGTCCTTGAATCTCATCCAATGTTGCTTCACTTGAAATTTGACTTCGGTTTCACATCAAGTGTCACCACAAACACCGTTAGCTCAGGTTACATGATCAGGGATTTTCCCGAGTTCTGCTCCCACATCAACTATTGCCTACTAACAAAGAAGTAGAGGTATTGAAGAATTCCCTATGTATATATGTATATATATTTCCCTATTGCTGACTTCAAGCCCAAGAATGCTGAAAAAATTCATGGGTTTGATTTAATACACTATGGTCTGTGTGATGCCTACCATTTAAGACCTCTTGGCAATTAAACTACAAGGGGGAACATGGCTTTTATCTAAAAGTTTCTTGTGATTGATGGAACTCTGACCAGAAATGGTGAAACAGTCCAGACAACTGTGGCTTGTATGCTTCCATTTTGATTCTACTAGAGACCATTTGTAGCAGTCACCATCTAGAAGAGGAAAATACCAGAGATACTTCATCTTTTTTCATGATAACTTGATGAAATTCATGATCTGAAGGATTTTTTGGGTAACTCAAGATGGGGGCAATTGGGTGACACCTTATTGAGATCTGGGAGGTCTGCAGAATCACTTTAGAGGCTTTATTGCTACTGCTAGATTCCCTTGAGAAACTCTGGACCTCTTTTGGGTCCAAATCAACATCTGTATATTGGTGCATGAATGCAAACTTCTCAGGAAGGCATATACTATGAATATTATATCATCTAGCATTGTCAACAAAAAGCTTTGTTGCAGTATTTAAATGATTAACAATTCCATTATCCCAACAAGAAAACTCAGTGTTTTGAGATTTGATTAGGTTCTGTCTTGGACACCAGTAGTTGCAACTCAGCAGAGGTAAACAGTGCAACTGTGATTGGAGAACTGGGCATGATGTGAGACACTCAGTATAATAACCAAGGTCCTTGACTGGAATTTGTGCAAGGCCAAGAATACACATCACCACAGAAAACTAAGAATATACAGTGATGGACAAATAGGGACAAATCCAAGCCACATTCACACAATCTTCCATTCATTCTATTAGTTGTGAAAAAACAAAACAAATCCTGATATGCGTGGAAAACTAAATATACAGCAGGTATGTATTTACAATACTTAAGGAAGTGAAATGCTGTTTATCTACAATAGTTGTCAGGTTCATGTAAATGAACAATGATTCATAGTTAGAGAGAGCTGATGCTGATAGAGTTTTGATTAATCTTGTTTGAGAAGGTGGGGAGGGGAAGCGGGGTAAAATTCAGGTCCGATAGGATGGATTATCAAACGATTCTTTCGATGGTATTGAAGTACCTATCACCCGACCACACCGGAGTGAGTTTGATAACTTGTGAAAGAAAAGAACGTGAGAAAGAGAAAAGAGGGCGAAATGGACTCACATAAATTGAGAGAGTATCATGTAAAGATGACGGTCCCATACCATCTGAGATTGGTGACTCCAAAATGCATTCCTAGCGGAACGATAGCCACTCAAGCCACTAATCAACAGCCCTTTTTCAAAGGTAGTTGTGACCGCGCGCCTTTGACGTTCACTCTCCTGGGTAGTCTGTTCAGTCTTCGGGTCATAAGTGAGCGATTGTAGAGCCGAGTTGATTTGCTGAGAAGGGCCGAAGATGATCGATGGTATCAATCTAATAAATGAGAGTGGCAGGTCGAATAAGCCAATGTATTTCCTTAGCACAAACACCGATTTGACTCTGTATAGTTTGGGTGATTTGGTCGAGCTGTGGTTCGGAGCAACCGATTTTTTGTATAGTGAAATAGCTAGTTCTGTGACTGATGCTGATACTGCACGATGGTTGATGTGTCCACTGACACCATAATCGTCAAAAGTGACGATCTGGATAATATGGAGATCAAAAGGACAGAATTTTCAAGAACTGGGGTGAGATAGATCGCCGATTTTTTTTTCCAGAGGAATTGATTTATACTGACACTATCAATCATCCAACGTTCGATGTGTTCATTGACCAGTTTCCCAATCCTATCCACTGGCCACCATATGATTGGATCGTCTTGTATCTGCCTAAGTGTAGGAGTAAAAAAACGTTGTTGGATGACATTTCGACAGGGGAATAGAGCAAGCTTAAGGAATTCTTACGAAATATCTAAGACATCACAGCGATCTTCTCGAATTCCGAGTTGTTTACAACTTCCCAAGAGCTCTTTCCTCCGTAGACCACCCTGTCCGTAATGGTTCCCCGAACTCATGACAAGTAGTGCGCCATGGGATTTGGCTCGTTGGACGGTAGCAAGGATCGAGGGCGCAAAGAATAAACATTCATCGTCCGGATGGGCAACAACGAACAGGGTGGATTTCGAGCCTCTTAATGAGCTGGGGAATAGCGCCGGATGGTCGGAGAATAGAAGGAAGATTCCTGTCAGTTCGGAACCAATGTGTGATACAGTCAATAATTCGAACGCCTGAAGTCAGATCTCGCATCCGATGATGATGATGATGGTATATATGATCCATTATCAAATTGAGTGGGGACTCTAGTCATTTTAGATTGAAATTTATTTCTCAAGCAGTACTCACCCGTCCAACAGAGTAGCGGCCAAAGAGTCAAGAAGACGACGAGCAGACGAAACTTAGTACGATGTTTCCGAAGACCTAGAGATCTAAAGTCATGCAGATATATTCAATACCTCATCGATAATAGAGAGGGTACAATTTGGAGGATGGTCACTCACAATGCATTGATAATGGTTTTAGTTGTTGTTCGATTATGATGATGGTTATTATTATTAGCTGAGCGTTTTGAGGAGGGTGGATAGTGCGAGTTCGTTGAATCGAGTTCTTCTGCTTCTGCTAAGACATCCTCCCTGTCACCATAGTCGAATTCTCTGATTTGGTTATCTCTCGATGGATATTGGTAGGATGGTTCGAGTAGTGGACTGATCGGTGGTATATCCTCTTCTTCCTGGTTGGTTCGATTTTTTGATTGAGAAGCACTCATCCTGGTTCTTCGTCGTGTCTGCTACAATCTTGTTGGCCTTGGCACTTCTTCTTGGTCTTGGCACTTGAAGACCTCTCCCGCCAAGATTTCACAAACCATGTCACACCACGGTCCGACCAGCCCCCGCACTCTACAAAACACCCGCGGGTTCCGCGTCTAACAGTAAACAGGGGGAGAGGGTTCACATTCCCTACTCAGTAAGATTTCACAGACAATAGTAGGGCGTAAGATCCTTAATGTTATCATCAGTAGGCAAGATCTCACATCCAGATCCCAAAGTGACTTGAAAAGAAAGTTGACAAGGCTTTCAATATTTTATTAAGCTTGGTGAATCGAATGGATTGATTCCCTAAAATCCAAGTTTTTAATTAAATATTAGTAGGTAGTTCTCTCAGAAGGGTTGAGAATGGGTTTGGCATTCAAAATCTTAACAAACACATGTAAGAAAATAAATAAAATTCAGTTTTCAGTAGTTCAGTTCAAGTAAACATGATGCAAAAAATCAGCATCACTGCCAAAGGGGTTGAACTTGTATTGGTTAAACAACCCCCAAAGTATAGTCAACTGGAGGCAACCAATGTAAAATTGATCTTCCAGAACAATTTTTTGTTGGCTGGGCCCACTAATCCATTATACTTGTAATGTATTGGTGGGCCCAACCAACACTAAAACCATCTGGAAGACCAACCTTACATCTGTCACCTCCAGTCAACCTTGCCATGGGGGGTTGTAGCTGAAACAGCCCTTTTTGAAGGCCATCCAAAATTTTTTTGTCACTGCAGCTCCCCCATTTAAGATTCAAAATCTCACGGTTGACTTGATTTCAGAGCTTTGCATCAGTATTACAACATTAGCAGGCACAGATGGATGATTTTTGATATGTCTAATAAAGACCTGAAAACTTGCTTGGGTATGATCATGTGTAAGGTCATCATCTTAGTCTTAGATTAAGGTGCTTAACATTCTAATCAAAACTCTGCTTCTTATTGATAAGAACTTCCTGAGGGTACCAACTGTTGGAGTGAGAACTTGAGAGAGAATTGATTTTCATTACTAAGGAATGAAAATCCTATTCAAAGAATGCATCCATGAAATATGACATGTGTCACTTTTGAGCACTTTGACCATGTCACAACACCAACACCCAGAACTTGAATCAATACAATGTGATCAGATACCTATCTCTTTGTGGGGATTGTATTGTCCATCCAATAATCATTTGCCTGAAAATGCCAATTGTATTGGCTCAAGGAGGCAATAGCTAAGTATTGTATTAATCTAGCCAATATGAAGACATCTCAATGGATATATTTTATTGCTCCTAAATATGATGCTTATATACAAATCAGATTATACCAATAACCTACTTCCACTAGGTTAGAAGATCCAATACCAATACTGAGTATTCTATTGGTCAACCCAGTACTTCAGGAAGCAAAGATGGGTATTTTATTGGACTGGGCCAATAAAAAACCAGGAAAGTTTTTATCTATTGTATTTGAGCACTACCCCATATCAACCATGAAACTGATCAAACACATGTGTTGGCATTTTGAATTGGGGTTTTATTTTACCAATAATATGGATTTGAATTCAATTGCCTGACAAATATGATCTGTAATCAATTTGGAATTTTTTAATATCAGAACTGACATTTGGAAGAGATTATTCAAGCATTTTCTTATGCAATCCCTACCAAATTTCATTCCAGATTTATCATTTTGGAAAATCCAATGCAACTTTGAATTTCCTAAGTATGAGCACTGCCTTTTTGAGGCATCCCACAATAGCATTCTTCTTGGATGACTCAGTATGAAATGGTGGTCTGTTTTGATAATGCTAGGCCTATATATTTTAAGATTAGATCTTGAAAATTAATAAGTCAATTATCACCAGGAAAAAAGTGGTCACTGGATGACAGGTGGCATCAGGGTAGGCTCAGCATGCCTCCCATTACTTATCTTGATCAAATCTGTTTCAGACTCCTGCAGGAGCCATTGTAGTTGGGTTGAAGTAGAGCTGGAGCTACAGCAGAGTAGTCATCATTGTTACTTGATTTCACCTGTGATATAGAATGAGCATTGCTTTTCCTGATTATAAGTAGGTGCTTGAGGTTCCTGAAGTGATGCACCAAAAATGAGTGATGATTGAACCTAATTAGCAATCTCACAGTTTTTGAGCCATGGAAAAGCAAGTACTTGCTGAAGGCTTCTGGTCATTAGCTGGCCTATCATATTTGGGACTACTCTTTATTTTCATTTTTTTAATCACCAAGTCAGCCTTTTTTTATTGATCAATGTTCAAAGATACATAAAAATGGTAGTCAAAGTCTTCTACAGCAAAAAGGGACAGCAATGAAGATATCTAAGCAAGCATCAAAGTTTGAGGGCCTTATACTGTGTACTGAAGCGTTCAAGGTTCACTTTTGAACCGTGAGCATCTAGGTATCCTAGTGGAGCCCTTCGGGCAAGTTGGATCATCTAGATCGTCGTTGGATCGTTGATCGGCGCCTACGACCATTCGGAAGCTGAATGTAGGAGTAGCGGGCCACAGTTGGTTGTGTATTGGCCGCTCGAGTTTGGGCAGGTTCCTAGTCCCGGTTGAGCGGGTGTCGCATCCCGGGGAACTGATGTCACTCACGCACTCCGAAGTGTTATACGGTCGAGTGGGCGGGTCGGACCCCAGCGATTCTTCTTTTTGGTTCCCTGACCTCTGCTCAAGGTCTTCGGTGCGCTGCCGGTCCTTTTTGGCTGCCGTCTGCGGCCCGCCGAGCTCACGATTTTCCGTCCCCCAAGCATCGCCCCGAGACAAAGAATGAGCTTTTATTGGAAAACATATGCAATCAGGAAAAAATGATATGTAACATGGATAGCTTCAAAGTATTCAAGATGTGGGGTGGCAAAGCTTACAGCCCAAGGAGGAAGGCGAAGAGTGGTCGCTGTCGACAAGTGAGCTTAGTCGGAGGTGGTCGAAGATCCGCTCCCGGATCAGCCGGGAAGGGTCATTGGTGAGGTCGAGAAAGACCTGACGACTGAGAGTACCGAGGAGGCCCGAAATGTCTTTCTCGCCCGGTGGAGCGAGTTCGGCCGCGATTGGCTGGCCGACGGCTGGCAGTCGCAATGGTAAGCCCCGGCAGTCCTGGCAGGTGCGTCGGTACGTCTCCCGGCCTTGGTCGTTTGTCCACCAGTCCCGGTGAAACTCTCTACTCGCTTTCCTCTTCTTACATCCTCGACACTCCCGAGCGTCGTTGCCGTTTTTCTGGTTCTCTTTGTCTTGTCGGAACTTGATAACTGGCACAAAGTTGTCTATCATACTTGGCAATAGAATATCGAATAAGGAGATTTACAATGGCGCCAAAAATGATATGTCGTGGGCTGTCGGGGGCACTGGGATGGAGTGACGAAATCGAAAGGTCAAACATACAAAGCAGCGTTTGAAGTATCAACCCAGCAGCCCTCCAAGCTCAGTGATTCTTCTTTCCCCTCTTATTTACTAGCGAGCCTTCGTGGTCGACGAATCTTCTTTTCCCTTTAGATTTGTAGATCGGTTGACTTCCTTTGTGGAAAGAAAAAGATATCCACAATGTCTTGTGCGTCATCAACGGCTTATCACAGACCCAATATGTAACAACCAATCCCTTTGTTAGGAAGCAGTTTTCTGTTTTGTTTGATCTGACGCTAACTAACCCTGTCCATACCCCTTTCTTTTCCACCGAACCATATTCAACAGCCATCCAGAATCTAGATGATTGATTAATTGATGTCGAGGTTGAATCTCTTTGTGCCAACATCAAGTAAGGGGCGACCACTGCCCGGCGAACATTGGAGATTGTATCTGTATAGTTTCTCCCAAACAAGTGTGTACCTCGGTTGGAGCCGGTATTTCCGATCCAGCTAGATCCCTCATCCGTTGCTGCGAGTTTCTGTGCTCCCAGAGGCTTCGCCAGGACCCTGGAATTTGGAAACCCCCGAACTATGTGGGCGACCAAATGTATGAATTTTTCAGAAAAAAAAAAAATGATACGCACAAAAGTGGTATGAATGAGTTTGGTTGCCTGAAAGGTTACACACCAAACAGCCTTTAAATGTATGAATAGCCGCCAACTTGGGGGAAAACCCCCCAAAAATGGCCCGGTCCCCGCCTCCGAACTTGACACAAGTCCCTCCCTGAGCCCGAAGGGCCCCCTCCCATCAGGGAGGGACTTGCACATAATGTCGCACATCTGGGCTGAGGGCATCCAGCCAAATGGCCGGATAAATCACAAAACACCCCATTTCCCCCACAAGATCACTGTTGTTAGGGAAGCAGTGCAGGACATAGACTTGCATGATTTTTCTCATTTTTTTTCCATGTCTTTACTTTCCTACCACTCCTCCTCAAGCCAAAGATATTATGCTCAATCAAAAATGAAAAATACAAAATCTGATTTGACCATGACCAGATATTTCCACACCAATGTCCGGTCTCACGCCCTCATGACAACCATGTCATTGAGCCTTGGAGTCTCACTCTTACTTGCATTCATGCTGTCAAAGAACCTGTCAACTAAGGCATAACAAGTTTTATAAATTCCAATCCGGTCATGCAAGCACAATCCAACTATCTGAAGGAGGGGGAAAAACAAAATTTGTTACTATTTGCCAAGATTTAACTCCCAAAGCATGTCCTCCTTCAAACAGAGGTAGGAGTCTCATTTTTGTAGCTAAAAGTTTTTTTTAACAAAAGCCAACATGCATGGCTAACCTCCAGTAACCTCATTTCCTTAGAAGGAATTGAGGTTTTGGAGGGAAATCAATTTGAAGTTCAAAAATGTGAAATTTCACCCTTAAACCTTATGACCTCAGGCCAGGAGGTCAATTTATCATGTAAGCCTCTCCTTTGGAGAACGTCCCTTTGGGACCCTCCAATTGAGAGGCTTTGTTAAGCTCGCCCTGCCTCTTCCAGGGGATTTTGGCCCAAGCATACACCCAGACCTTTTCAGGGAAACTGAGGGCACGCTTGAAAACATCTCAATGTTGAGAACGTCTTCAAGAC